TTTATGACTTTTTGGCCCAACAGGGCCTACCGTGGCCCGGCCTGAATATTATTTGAGGTTAGTGAGCCCAGATTTAAATGTGATTCAACCCATCCCATCAGTCCCATTCTAGAGGCTTTGCAAGTTGGTAGGCTCAGTTTTGGACAAATTGACCCTCTTGTCGTCCTAAAGTTCCGTCATTTTAAGAAATTTCCAACTTTTTAACATTATTACATTGATACCCAATTCAAAATGACAATAGTGCCCCTACTTTGGATTTTGAATTCCGAAATTTAATACTTTTAACATTTTTTTCCCGATAACTTCAAAAGTTTAAGTTTCCAAATACCGGCAGGTTGCGAAAAAAACAACAAAAAAATAAATAAAAAATAAACATGAATGTAATATTTGGGGATTTTTTTAATAAAGGCAATTTAAAGGGATATCTTTGTAATTTACTTTCGACTTGGGTAGGCCTCATTTTACAGTAATATGTGAGGTATGGTTCCTCGTGTGATCTTTTTCACCATTTAATAAAGAGAAAAGTTTATATATGTGATATAAATTTTATATGTTGGATAAGGTTTTAATTTTGAAAGACTCTAATTGATCATCTCGATGTCAAGATATATGAATATGAAAAACAAAAGTTTTTTAGTCTCATAAATAATGCATCTTGCAACATATTATCTAGGCCGTTTATTTTCAAGATTTTCATATGTCTATAGATCTACTTGATTTTAACCTTTTTTGGAATTTAAAATTTTTTAATTATATATGAAAATAGATTTTAAGATAATTTTAAGAAATTTTTACAACAAAATTACATATTATGATAAAATTTGGAGGTGTGCCTTAATTAGATTGTTTAAGGTTACAACCTTATAGAAACCACACCCTCTAATAAATGACCATAAAGTAATGGAATCTACAACTATGGTGCAGTTGGACTTCGCATCATTCGGCATTGAATAAAAACTCCAATTCTTCAAACTGATCTAAATTTTCTTCACATCTAAATTAATTATGGATGAAGTTTCTATAAGGCCTAGGACAAAATAAAATCTTATCTCAAGTCCTTGTCTTGAAAGCATTTTCAATAATGGAAATATCCATAATGGCCTTAAAGTCAATTTCCAACATCAACAATCAAATTTGAAACTTAAAAATGGAATAAATCTTGTGAATATGCGAACACCTATATTTAGGGTGAAATAGAAAATCTATATAATTTGTTTAAAAAAATGGAACAAATCTCGTGAATATGTAAACATTTATTTTTAGGGTGAAATGGACGGTTTATATAATGTGTTATAATATATACTACCTAATTATTTTTCACAACCATAATGTTTCAAGTCGAGATAATCAATTTAAAGGTTTTTCAATGGTTAAATTGCAATTTTTCATGAGTTATGAAGTGTGGCTTTATCTATTTTGATAGGGCTGCAATACTATCAAACCATTTTCCATTAATTATTGTAAAAAAAAAAAACACTAATTATTATTTCTTTCAAATGTTGGGAAAAAAAAAAAAAAGTACTTGTTACCAAGTGTTGTGTAGCTTCTCATAAGTACATTAAATGAAGAAGCCCCAACCATTTATTGTAGGGTTGGTACGTCCATAACAATGGACGGTCTAGATGCTGCTTTTTAAGAGAACACAACTTAGATGAAAACCCCATAATTGAGGCATATATATCCATTAAAGAAAATGAATGGCTAGGGTTTGTCCAAGCTCTCAATATTTTCACCAACGACTCAAAGAGGTTCTCCCGTTTTTTGTTCAGTTTTATCAAGACGAGGGCTAGTTAAAATGTGTTCGACCACTGTTTGAATCTGTTTAACAGAATTGTCAAAAAAGAAATAAAAAAAAATTATACTTTTAAATATAAAATATTATATAAAAAAATGTTATCTTTGTTTAATCAGTCTAACCAACTGAAACGCATTATGTGATGGATGGTTTAGATGAGAGGTCTAAGTGCGTCAATGTTCATCTCAGCCGTTTGTCTCATGAGGTTGAGGCGACACTGCAGCATATTGATTGCAACCTTATATAAACTTCAAGGATATATAGAGATTCTTTTTTTAATGTTAATTATTACTTCCATTAATGAAAACGAGCGAAGCTCGATATACAGCAAGCACATGAATATATAGGGGAAATATCGTTAAAGGGTATGAAACCCTTTAAAAAATCATAAAAGGGATCAAATTATCCCTACTAAGGGTATTTTTATAATATGATATATACAAAATAATTTAAGTACAAAATTATAAAAACACCTTTAATTGTTCTATGTTGTTAGTACTGAGCTATGTCTTCCTTACCTGGAATGCGGAACAACTAAAAATATTTTCATCATTTGGTTGAGACATCTTAGAGATCAAATTATAAAAACACCCACGATTATTCCACATTCCAAATACCAAATAAAAACAAAATAGTAAAAAAGTCTCAAATATAACCCTTTTAATAATATCGTAAGGGATTTCATCTCCTTTAGTGATATTTACCCATACATCGAGAAAAACTCCGTACTTATGAGAGAATATAGATTCGACCAGTATTCAGACGCACTACTTGGGCTGAGTACTTGGCCCATGCTCGAGCCAAGTACTTGGCCCGAGTTTGAGTAATTTGGACTGAGTAGGACTGAGTACTGTGGTAGGAAAAATGTTAAAAAAAAAATAAAAAAAATAGATAAAACGTATGTAAAATAAAATTAAACAAAACACATATAAATGTGGTTAAAAAAACAGTGAAAAAATAAATTTTAAAAATTTACTTTGTGATCTGGGTATTTTTTGAAACTTTCCAAGAAAATAAGAAAAATATAAAAATAAGCATTTATGGCCAAAATATTTGAACAATCTTTGTCAAAATAATAGAAAACATAAAACATATATGAGTAGTGATACTATGAGACCCTCCTACACTCATCTGAATAGAACTCCAAAAGATTACTATTAAATTTTGAAATAGATCTCTAGAAAACCCATTCACCCACGTCATAGATATGTGTCAAAATTTAATAGTGATATTTTGGGGTCCTACTGACATGAGTGTAATAAGGTGTCATTGTGACATTACTCAAAACATGTATATCTACAATTAGATTTTATTTTATTTTTTTAAAATATTTTATAATTTTTAAAAATTTTAATATCCCCCAATTAGATCCCCAACTTGTGATAACTCGAGCTCAGCCACAGAGCCCGAGTAACTCGGTGGAGTCCCAGCCGATTTCTCAAACGCTAGTTCGACAACCAAGCCAAAATTTGGATGAGATCCAATTGTTGTGGCCCCACCCAACATTGAATGGGAAAGGAGGCGTAAACGTAATTACTAAATTACCCTTATATCGCCAATTTGGATAAGATCCAATTGTTGTGGACCCACGCATCATTGACGTTAATTTGTGAAGTCTTTCACCAACAAATATAAATGGACGCCCCGCACATATAGAAATTCGAGTCCCTTTGGGCAAGCTATATATGTTTTCCTTAATTCTATCCTCCCCTAATCCACCCGTCCATTTTGAATGGAAGGCTAATATTGTCTCAATCACAAGATCATGTCTCTATATTATTTTATTTTTAATTTTTTTCTATAAATTATTTTGACATCAAATTTCAGACGTCCATTCCCCTATTAAACTCGTACTAGAGAAAAATATAAAAAATATTTTCAATAAAATAAAATGACCAAAATACCTTTGAAAGTTTCAAGAAGTATTTTTGTCATTATATTTTATCGAAAAATTATTTTTAATATTTTTTATAGGTGCGTCCCAATGAGAAGATGGCAAGTACCAAATTTCATATTCATGAAATTTGTATAAAAAAAACAATTACAAATAAAATACTTTGAGATGTCAGATCTAAGATCAAAGGGTGAGTGACTCTCTTGATCAAAATTGGATGGCTGTATAGTAGGGGGAGAATATAACTTCTACACTGTAGGGGAAACATAGAAACCTTTCACATCTATTTTTGAGATGAATTATTGGACTTAATTTAAAAAAAAATTTATGCAAATATCCGTTATATTTCTCATTATTACGAAAATACCTCAAACTTTTTGTTATTACCAAGATGTCTGTTTTCAACTTCATAATACTTTTTTTTAAAAAAAGATGAAACTGCCTATTTTCGGTTTTTTAAAAATATTTTTTTTTAATTTTTAAGGATACGTGATCTCTAATGTGGAGATCATGAATATGAATAAATAAATAAATTTTAAAAATTAGAAATTATAATTCTATTAAAAAAAACATTTGGACAGTTAGTTTTAGGGGTGGCAATGGACCCGAATCCGACACATACCCTCCGGGTATGCCTGATGCGGGTCCGGGTAGGGGTCTAAGTTTTGGACCTGCGGGTAGGGTCCGAGTCCAATAAAGGATACTCGGATTGTCCCTAGTCCAAGAACGGGTCCTCCCATACCCGACCCGGTGGTACGCGGACTTAGTTTACGCAAAGCCCAAAGGCCAAAGACTTAATCCTAAATTCGTTTCAAACTTTTTGTCTTCCCTTAGTTCTCCAAATGGCCAAACCCCATCATCATTCTCCCTCTCTGCAATTCTCCGTCTATAAATTCTTTGGAGACACCTCTCTCTGGATCTTGAATGTCTCTTTCTATAGTTGCCCACCCCTAAAAAATAGGTCTCTAATTGCCCATTACAGCCTACAAAAAAGGAAGCTCATTGTGATGGTGGCAATGGACTCAACCAGACCCAGGATCTGACAAAATAGACCCGGAACCTGATGGATCAGGTCCGGGTTCAAAACCTAAACCCGAATATATTCGGGTCTGGGTCCAGTCAAACCCGACCAATTGCCGTCTCTAATTAGTTTCCATTGTTTTTAAATACACCATATATTTGCATCTATCTTTAAAATGGATGGTTTATGCTTTTGGACCGCATAAATAGAAATGCGATCCATCCCACATGAAACAATTTTCCAACATAAATTGTTAGAGAAATTTGACTGGAAGCACCTCCCGTTTAACTTTCTCTCAGTCCCTGGACTCAATACTGAAACCCATAACCCATAAACGAACATCTGATCCTTAACCTCTTCTTTATTAAAAACAAATTCACCATTTTTTTATGGAAAGAGTTTATATAAAGCCGAGGTTTTAAACAATCAAATTAAAGCTCACTTCAAAACTTTTTCTGAGGTTGTTTTGATGCCCAAATATCCTCAAATTCATTATCTTTGATGTCAATATGCATGACCAGAAAAAAATGGATTTCAAGTTTTAAAACCTTGACATTATTTAAATGTGGGCTGTGCTTTGATTGTTTAGAGCCTAGGCTCTATACGAACATTACCTTCCGCCTGAGCTTAAGAGGATTGTAGAGAGACAGCGTGTGTGTGCATCTTCTGAAAAGCCATGGCGCCTCTCCCTGCTTTCTCTGTCTTCCTGGTATTTTCCACCATTTTCAGTTCCTCTTACGAGGCACTTGAGACTAACCCTCTCTCAGGTGTTTTCCATTATTCCTGTGATTTTTTTTACTCACCATTTTGTGAGTTTGTCTTCTGGTTTTCACTTTCTAACATTGATGACCATTGTTTCTTTGTGATATGGGTTATCTGAACAGAACGACAACATGAGGTGTTATCATGGAGGGGAGCTGAAGAGGATAAGAATATTGTTATATTGGAAGAAAGAATCCACAGAGAAGAGTCTCTGCAAAATTATGAACACTATAATGGAGGACAGAATATGAGCGACCCCTTTTACTGGACTGTGAGTTTTCTTAATCCAAATATATTTTTATTGTTGGGTTGTATCACATCTATTTCTCTGGAATATCTGCTTATCTCTGGTAATTCCATGTATTCTTTATTCTTTTTTTCTTTTTTTAATTACCTTTGTAGTTATCCTTTTTCTTTTGGGAAGAAAATTCTCTTATCCTTTTTGAGCATTTCAAATCCTGTAATATGCATTTTGTTGGATATTTAACTATATCTTTGGTTAAATTCATGTCTCCCTCTCCCTGGGCTCTTTTTTATATTTGTTTCTTATTTTAGATTTTTTGAATTTATATGTTCTGGATATGTATATTTTTCTGACTAAAATGTGCGTGTGTCTCTTTCTCTCTTTCTTCAAAATTTGAATCATCTGTATCTGGATTCTTGTTTTCTAGTTAATTCTCTTTTCTTGTTTAATTTCCTTATCCATATCTAATTGTTACAGTTAGTGCTTTCTAAGGCCCGGTGCCCACTTGCTGTAGCTGTACTTTGGTTTCCTGCATTTGGGGTTCTTCTCATTCTTCTCTGTTGCTGTTGTTGCTGCTGCCCCCGAAGACTTCCAAGCAACTCAAGAGTTGCCTATGCATTATCCCTCATTTTCCTCATACTCTTCACTTGTGCTGCCATGTAATCTCTCTCTCTCCATTGACTTCACTTGTGCTACATTTTTTATATAGTTCTCTTGTTTTAAAGAGATTTTGATTCACTCAATCGAGTTTTATGCATTTGGTTGCAGAGTTGGATGTATTGTTTTATATACTGGTCAGGGGAAGTTTTATAGAAGCACAAAAGGTGCCTTGGAATATGTAGTGGACGAAGCTAATTTGACAGTCACCAATCTTAAAAACTTCTCGAATAGCATATCAGCTGCAAAGAGAATTGGGGTTCATGGGATCTTCCTTCCTTTGAGTGATCAAGCCCAGATTGATACACTTGCGTCTAAGCTGAATAGTTCGGCAGACACTCTTCAGCATCAGGCAGAGGACAATTCTGATATATTTCATTTTGTACTCAATCTTGTGTAAGAATCAAGTTTATGTTTCTCTTTTATTTTTATTTCATAAATAGTGTTTACTTGCGAGGATGCTCAGTACTTATTCAAATTGGAGCCTTCTTTCTTCGAGAAATTAAACTGTAAATGGGTTCCTAAATGTTAAAGAGAAAAGATGAGTTCTACATTATTTTCTTTCTCTTCATTTTCCTTTTAACAGGAGAATTGTTTTTGTTGAGTTGGTTCATTTTGCTCATGATGTGCAGGAGAGACCTTCTGATTGTTGTTGCAAGTGTGATGCTTCTTTTGGAATTTCTTGGATTTTGTAAGCATTTCGCATCTTTGTTTTGGAAAACTATTATCAGACATTGTTATTGCAATTTATTTTTCAACTTTGGTTTTTCCTTAGGATGGCTTTTATTTTTTACCAATGTTACGAGACTTGGCCGTGGCCGCTCGGCCGAGTAACTCGTATGGGTAAGGCGAGTTTTGGGCGAGTAAGCTATACAACATGTTTGCAAAGTTTATAACCATTAATACGTCAAATTTAATTCGCATGTTCTTGCATGGCTCCACAGTTAGTCCCGACGCAGATATTTTAGCGTGGTCAGGGTTCGAACTCAAGACCTCTTGCAAAGAGGCATCTTGATCTCGGGCTGCCAAACCAACAAGCCATTCGCTGCCATTATACTATATATACCATGCTTTTGTCTTCATTTTTTTTAAAAAAAATTGAGCTTGACTCGAGCTCACCTGGGCCATGGTCCAAGTACCTTCGCAGAGTCGATTTTCTAAACACCGTACTATATTCTTCTTGGCTATCATGCAGTGTTTTCGATTCGTGGGCTTCAAGTTCTTGTATACATGTAAGTGTGTTGTGATGCGACACCCTTTTTTTCTTAATTTCTTTTTGCTATCTTGAAACTCAACACTATTTTAGCTCATTTATCATTGAATAATTGTTCATCAAATGGTTGCAGATTGGTTACTATTGGTTGGGTTCTGGTTCCAGTGGCATTCATTTTCTGTGGTGTAGCTCTTATTGTCGATATGTGAGTAATGGCTCATATAATACGAATAATTGGGAAAGAGGTAGCATATACCATAAGATATATTATTTATTGTTCCACCAAATTACTCTTTCATTCTTAACTTTTTATGCTGTTACATTTTCATGTGATATCTTGTTAACTCATTTATTTTGAACCTTATGGCCTCTATGTTTTGCAGCCCATAAAATTTGTGATACTTAATTCTAATGGTTTAAAAAGCAGATCGGTACTAGGATCGGGCACTTCAAAAACAGATTTGGATCCGCGAATCGGTGATCCGGATCAAGAATCGACTGAATCGGTCAAATTAAAGCTTAAAAAAAATCCGAAAAATTTATTAAAATTCATTATAAATATTGTTTTTTAAGAATTCAATAAGAAATGAGGGTACTCCATTAAGAATTTTCATTTTTTTACATGAATATGCGAATATTGATATGTTCTTTCCCTGCATGAACTACTATTTATCATTTAATTTACATCACACAAAAGGATAAACATAGAATTATCATGGAATAAGTATATCAACATACATGGACTACAATAAAGCATACAATTAGTAACATTCGATCTAAAAATAAAATGACAGACGACGTCGTTCTTCTTGTTGGTCACGCTGGTGCCATTGATTGAATTTGTTTGACAATCATTGATTCGATCTAAAAAAGAATCATCGATATTAGCAGACGTCTGACTATACCCAAATCCCTGAGTATTAGTGTTCTGTTGTGTTCCCAATCCAAAATCTCCGAAGCTTGTCCATCTTTCATGCTCACTTGCACTATCGTGCTCATCCCTATACTGTTGCGGTTGGAACTCGATATGTGAATAATATGGCTGAGATAGGGTGGCCTCAGAATCATCATCTCTCTCATTTTCCCTTAGACCCCCTTCCCACTCTCCCTCATTAGGTGCAATATCACTGACATCTCCGACGAATTATGGATACGTTGGCTGGTTGCTTCCTCTTTTATGTTGCTCATCACCTTCTTTAATATCTTCCTCACCGATAGCCTCAAGGAACGCTCTCTTGTGCAACACTGGCTCCTCCTCTTCTACTACCCATTGGTCTGCTGTGTCTGTGACAAATATTGCATCTAAGTCTATCGGCCCATAGTCTTCAAGCTTCCTTCTTATTTGTCGCTCTCGGAGGTTTAAGTTATAATGAACGTAGACTAGTTTATGAAGCTTCTCCGAAGAGAGTCGATTCCTCCTAGTAGTGTGAAACCATTGGAACGTACTCCAATTGTGCTCACAGCCAGTAGCAGAACATGTCTGGGAGAGCACCTTGATTGCTATCCTCTTTAGGTGAGGTGCATCAGTACCATATATCTCCCACCATTCAGCTGGATTAAAATGCAAAAAGCATTGTAAGGGCAAGAACAATTCATAAGATTATATATATGAATGAACAAAATATTAGCGAGGGGATAACTTGGATCCATCTTAGTTCGAGAATTATTGGCAAGTCTAGTTTCGAAGGATCCTATAGCATCTATATACATAGCAAACTAAAACAAATATATTTCGTTTTAGTACATTATTCCTCACAAATATAACAACTCAATGAAGTTCTTACCCAAACATTAAATAATACCTCTTGTATTACTGCTACTTGATTTCGATGACTTCTTTCCAACCTTGCAATAATGTATCTGACCCCTTCCATAATCTTGTAGAAATGTCCAGGTATCAAATAGAAAAATTTTGGGTTGAAGTAGTAACCTAGAAAATATATAGATAGAAAAATGTTATTTACAATTTCATAAAAAAATGATTTAAAATGAAACATTCTAATGATATAAATAGATATTTACCAGCATAATAAATTAGATGTCCAAATTTGGTGTTCCACCTCCTTTCTATAATCTCGATCACTTTGTTAGCAAAACTACACTTCTCCCCAATAGCTGATTTCACCCTTTCGATACCTTCATAAAGGATGCCCATGGTGGCTATCTTGTCAGCATCCACCATTCTTAACACCATGACCAAAGGGACAGTGGCCTCTATAACACTAGAATATCGAGACCAGAACCTCTTATTTGAGACTATGCCATCCACTTTTATACTGGTACTGGACTTCGAGAGGCGGTCATTTAACCACTTTTCACAGGTAAACAATATCTTGAATGCACCTTCAGATTCTCGAATGGAGTCTACAGCTAAGTAATCGGTCGCAAAGCGGGTTATGGCAGGCTTGATTATCTCTTTTTTCTTAGAGTGTTATCTAAACAGAAATAAAATTTTGAAGTGGTTGTATATAAATCTCGATACCAACCTGCTTCCTCTATAGTCTCCTTCACAATTTTGATCTCACCGATCTCCTCTAACATAAGATCGATGTTGTGTGCAACACACGGGGTCCATACTAGATGCTTCCTCTTATCCATCAACTTGCTACCTGTAGAAACACATGCATGCGCATTATCCGTAATAAACTGGACTACATGCTTATCTCCCACCTCCTCCACTATCTGATCATATAGTCATACGTAGAAGTTTGCATCATTTTTCGTCCCTGATACGTCTTTGCTAGACAAAAAAGCTGTACCTTTTGGAGAATAGGTCAAGAAGTTTAAAAACTCATTTTTGCTAACTTTATTCAACCAACCATTACTCATGAGAGTAATGCCTGTTCTTGGCCAATTCTGTTCATATTCTTCAATCTACTTTGTAACTTCCTCCACCTCTTCATCTAATATTGGCCCACTGAGCTCATATGCCGTCGGGGGTTTTACCTCAGGCTCGGCTCTATGGATTGCACTGACCATAGGTAGAAAATATGGGCTATTGGCTGCATAAAAGGGAAACCCTTTATCGTAGAACTATTTACCAACATATCTCCCCAACATGTTTCTTGCACCTTTAACCATGCCTGTTAGGGTCATCTGTTGTGACTTAGGCTTTGAGAGAAATGGATCTATACGACCATGACCTGTAATACTAGTACTCCTCAGTAACCTAGAAACAATTTTTTCAACGTCTGATACTTCGTGATACATATTGTCATCCATACATATTTGAGCTGGGCCGACCATACATGCTCGAGCTGGGCCTGCCATACATGTCTGAGCTATGCCCACCATGCATGCCCATGTCATAACCATCAGGCATTCTAAACCTGCGTTCCCTCTGGTACGTTTCATGTAAACTCATTCTTATGGCCATCTCCAAGTCATTATTATATTGCTCTTCTAGATCATTCCCGTTTAATGGCGTATATAAACTAGTTATCTCCTCATTCATCCTCTGCTTTGTATTTTTTTTTTCCTTTGATAGCCTTGAGAAATGCCGCCATTTGCTTTCTTACATTATTAGGGTCACTATTGCATGCAGAAACATCTCCCATAACCCCTGCTAAGTGTTGCTTGAACCTGTGTACCCCACTACTTATCACTCTTTGGTAGTAATTACAAATAATCTTGTTTTTTTTGTTGGGATCAAGTCTAACCCCATGTTGCCATGCAGGGTCTTCTACAGATCTTGCCATGGTTAAACTTTAAAATGTAAAAGGTTAAAAATTAACCTGACAGTTGAACATGAAAAATAATCACCATGTGTAGTGATAATATGTAGGGGTAGTTCATGAAGTTATATTTGTTAGTTAATGTAAAATACTTCTATTGACAAAAATATTTTAATTCCTACTGAGAAAAGTAATTTATTTTTACAACATTATAGATAAAAGTAGCCTATATCAGCCACTACATAAAGAACAATAAATTTACATTGATATAGTATCAATAAAATATATATTTACAATGGTATAGTATTTCACAATGCCAATACATATGGGCTAGTCACAAATCTTCATTTCGACAAATATGAATTAGTTCCTACTGAGAAAAAAAAAATGTTTATGCAATATTATAGATAAAAAAAAGTCTGTATAAGTCACACATGCCAAATATTCATACATCTCAATTACAAATATGCAAGATAATATAATAAAAAAAGCAAGCTCCAAACATGCCTACAACTCAATTATCAAGAACATACATTGTTTGCATTAAAAATTTAATAATAAAATTGATAATTACAAGCTAATATAATTATCATACATGATATTTTACTTTAATTCCTCATGATAATACAATTTAACAATATGTATTTTTTGCATTAAAAATTTTAAAAATTAAAAAAACTTTTTTAATGCAAAACAGCATTAAAAATATAATACAGTTTAACAACATGTATTTGTTAATTTTTTTTTTTTGGCATTAACAACAAATTAAAAAATACAGTTTTGCATTAAAAATATAATAACATGCCACGATTTTTTTACAATGATATTCACTGTAATTCCTCATGATAATACAGTTTAACAACATTTATTTTTTGTATTAAAAATTTAAAAATTTAAAAATACTTTTTTAATGCAAAACTTCATTAAAAATATAATACAGTTTAACAACATGTATTTGTTAATATATTTTTTAGCATTAACAACAAATTAAAAAATACAGTTTTGCATTAAAAATATAATAACATGTATTTTGTTGCATAAATAATCTATCAACATGCAATTTTTTGAACTAGAAATTTAACAATAAAATTTAAAAATATTATTTAATTCCTCATGATAATAAATTTTTTTTTTTTCAAAAATCACGATTTCTCAAAAAAATTGATCATGAAAAAAAAAAAAAAAAAACCCAATTCTTCACAGACCAACCTAACATCAGTTATTCCAACTCAAAAATCTACCTCAAATTGAATAAATTACATCAAATTTAATACGTGTTTTGATAAACAACACTATAAGGAATCAAAGCCCTATAATATTAACACATTATTATCAAAATATTAAATAAAATCGATTGCATTGAGGAAAAAAAAAAAAACGCAGTTCTCCACAGACATCAGTCATTCAATCTAAAAAATCAATCTCAAATTGAATAAATCAAATAAAATTGAATACATGAGATGATAAACAACACTATAACGAATCAAAACCCTATAAATTTAACACATTCTTTCTAAAATATTTACTGAAACTGTGAAAATGGCTGGAAAAAACAAAAAACAGTCCACTTTTTTTTTAACAGACATCACTCTTATTTTCTATAAAATCCAACTGAAATTGAATAAATATAATCAAATTGAATATATCTAATAATAAACAACACTACAAAGAATCAAAACCCTATAAATTTAATACATGATTTGTAAAATATTGACTGGATTTGATCGCATGGCAGAAAAAAAAAAAAAACAAGAGTTTTTACCTGTTCTTCGTGCATCCGTGCCTTCAAACTCAAAATTGAAATGTATTCCTCCAAGATAATCACAAATTATGAACACAAAATTCTGACCAACACTCTTACAATCACTCAGCCTGAAATTTTACAAAAAATGAAGCTTTATTTCGATTGAAAATCACTGAATGGCGGAAACCCTAAAACTCACTCTTCGATCCAAATTTGTTGATAAAAAACGGTGGTTTTAATTCGTTTTATTGAGTGAAAATGATTCGAAATTTGAATTAAAGCCTGTAAGATTCGTTCATAAAGCTGAAAACGTTGAAAATCGATCACAAAATGACAAAAAAAATAGAAATCCCGTGAAGAACATTGTGCAGCCCTGTGTTCTTCCTGGTGACTCGGACGGAATCGCGAGTCTACTATTGGGAATCGCCCGGTTCTCTCTGGACACGGGCGATTCCCGTTTTATGTGCGGAACTGGCACGTCCGGTGGCGATTCCCGAGTCGAATCGGACGAGTCCAGTTCGACTCGGCGTGTTTTAAAACCCTGCTTAATTCTATGATATTCACTATGGACCATTTCCTGTTCATGTTTTGATGTGTTTCGCATGTTCTGGTCGAAGTTTTTGACTTCCTAAGCTGTTAAGAGTTTTTTTTATAGTGACCCGTTCCTGTTCATGTTTTGATCTGCTTCTCATATTATGATTGAAGTTTTTAACTTCCTAAGCTGTGAAGATTCTTTTTTTTTAATTGTCAATTGGAGATAACATATTCAGATTTAGATGAGAAAGGAAACAGTAAGTAATACTGCATAAGTTGAGCACTTTATTGAGAGTGAGAAAAAATGGACATGCTCTGAAACATGCGTTACAGCTTAGAGAGATGGATATACTAAAAAACATTGATAACCATATGAAAACAGAATGCTTGCTAACATGGATACACAGCAGAATGAAGGCACAAGGGTTTTCCTCTAAAATGGGTTCCTTAATTTTTGGCTTAGGCAAATCGGAACATCACAAGTTTAACCTTTAATCCTCAAAATATACTGACCGGTGTGCATTGATATCCCACAGTATCACTTTCTTTCCCTTGCATCGACTTTTCTGTCCAACAGATGTTGGTCTTCAATTGGGTGTCCACATGATCTTTTCCCTTTTCTTTTCTTCTTCAGTAGATCAGTTTTCCTCTTTAGACACCATAGAAGAATCCATACTTTTTTTAGGACTAACATTTCATTTTTCCAAAAGTACTACATGTTTAGGCAAACACTGGATCCCCAATACTCTGAAGTCCTAGTCCTATGGTGTCACACTGTCAATGAAATGATGGACACTAATGGGGAGAGTGTGGGACTTACTGCTGCACCTCCATCTATTTCGTTCAACATGCTTGTTCTGGTCGGTGCCACTCTCTTCTCATCACAATCCATCATTCAGTAGGTGGTGATGATTTATGACCCCAGTGGACTGTGTCTTCCGAGGTCATGGGGCACGGTCTAAACAAACGAAAGTTATGATGGATTGGACTATTAACTTGGCCATTATATCTTAAATTGGTTTTTCCAATTGAAAAGTCTCCAAATAGTTTTCTGAAATCGACACTTTTTGAAGTTTGGATGGCTAATCTCTTGTCGGTACACCTCCACCATTTGACATTTCTTTTTCTTGACAATCAGCATTGTTTCAGATGCATGTGTTGCCATGCATCAGGATGCAAACTCAACGTTGGTGGATATTCTTCCATGTGTGGATGCAGCAACCGCCAATAAATCCTTGTATCAAAGCAAGGAGATCAGCTACCAAATGGTCAATGTTGTTAATCAGGTCATTTCGAATGTGTCCAACCAGAACTCCTCCAGGGGTGCTCCTTCATATTACAACCAATCTGGACCGTTGGTTCCTGTTCTTTGCAATCCATTTAATTTTGACTTCACTCTTCGAAATTGTCGACCAGGGGAAGTGACTCTCAATAATGCAATGCAGGTAAAATTTTATTCCTGTGACTGCTCTGATACACAATTATATTGGATGAAGAAAAAGCAGAAGAGCATCATTATTCATTTCATTATTTTGCAAAGGATATGTCTACACTACATATGTATACATTATATACTACCTCTTTTGTTTCTTTACCACATGGTGAATGACTTCCAACTACCTTTGATTCCAGTTGGACTGTGAACTTTGTCAAAAATGTACCCAATTCAATAAAAGAACCCTGCTTTTAGAGAAAATATGTTTATATCGGCTGGCCAAACCTAAAATCATCTAGTTAACACAATTTATTTATTTTTATTTATTTTTTTTATTTTATCTGAAACCTTTCAACTAATTGAGCCAATGGTTGAACCGGATTGAACTGGACCAGCCTTTTTTCCAGTTTGACCTGCAGTCTGGTTGAAAAATGTTGTGCATAACGGAAGGCTTTCTCCTTTTATGTCCTGATTTCTATCACCAGTAAACGAAAATTCGGCTTTCTCCTTTTTTGTCCTGATTTCTATCACCAGTAAAGCAAATTTGTATAAAATGTTTATTAGGTTTCATATTATTACTTCACAAGTAAAAACATTTTTATGTAACTAATCATAATCAAGTAGCTAACCACCACATAATCAGGTAGCTAACCACCACAACTCTGATAAGATGGTCAGTTGAGATATTGATAAACATGTTTCATGCATGTCTCCCAGAAACATAGTGATGTTCTCGTTCTTCTATATGAGTCTCCTGTTCCCCACTTTATAACATGGCCAAAATTATCTTTATACAGCGGAATTGAGGAACCTGGTCCTTTACTCCTTCGAAATGGCTGAAACATTATTACGATGCAACAGAAATATAGACTATTTTTGGAGAAACATAGTGCATTATGGTCACCACCCTCAAATGAAATGGACTTGAAGGACGCAATGTTGGGGACCTCTCTGTATGTCTCATTTCATCAGATGATCACGACAACAATGGACTATGAGTTTTCTTCATAGGACATAGGACTGTAGCTTATTTTCTCTAGTAAAGCATTACTTCCTAGCCATATGTATTAAGATCTTCCTTGGGGTTATCTGCAGGTATGGCAGGGTTATACATGCAAGGTTTCATCGTCTGGTTTGTGTTCTTCGGTGGGTCGTCTGACCCCTGACATGTACAACCAAATGCTGGCAGCAACTAATGTGAGCTACGAACTATATAATTATGGTCACTTCCTCAACCATCTACAGAACTGCACCTTTGTGAGGGACATATTTGATACCATAACCAAGAGAGATTGTCCACGCTTAAGGCTATATAGCAAGTGGATTTACATAGGCCTTGTTATTGTCTCCTCAGCTGTGATGCTCTCTCTCATCGTTTGGCTCATCCATGCTAGAGAGAGGCGACACCGCAAGTATATCAAAATCCTTCCCGGGGTTCCATAAACTCAAGCACTGGTTCGAGAGAAGGATCCATGGAGGATCAGAAATGGTTCTTAGAAATTGGTCTTCTTTCTCTCATGTTGGATGTTATGGGATGGTTCTTGGAAATTGGTGTTCTTTCTGTCATGTTTGATATTATGGGATGTGTGTATTTGTAACTTCACATTTCAAAAATAGGATTATAGGCATTTGTATGTATCCTAAAAATTGGTGGTGTATCTCTTGGCAATGATTTCAAGTCACTATGTTATAGTAATATAATGAAGCCCCATTTCTAGAAAACTATGCTTGTGGTATTTGTATAACTTAATTTCAATTTTGTATATGTACTTTAGACATCCCAACACATGAATCCACGAAAAATAAGATTTAACTGATGCCTTTGATATGGTCAAAATGAGTCCCCGCCAAACTGTCCATTTGATGAACTTTGAGACCTAGGCATTTAAAAACTCAAAATTGATATTTGATTTTTTAACATTGTTCATTTAATGAAAATAAAGCTATTTATAAAACGAAAACGTTTATATAATGGCAAGGCTCTAAACAATCAACTTAGGGCGCACCTCAAAAATTCACTAAAAGAGGTTGTTTTGAAGTCCAAAAATCCTCAAATTGGTCATCTCAACTTCAAGATGTATGGACATACGAAAACATGGATTTCAAGTTTTAAAAATAGTGTACTTTGGAATACATTTTCAAATCGTCAATTTTCATTATTTTCAAGCATTCATAGATCTGCTCAAGCTGCATTACTTTTAAAGTTTTAAATTTTATAATAAGAGATTTCAAGCCATCACAAAGATTTCTATTATTGATACAACATCTTTCAACGCTATTTAAAGGTGCGCCTAATTTTGATTGTTTAGAGCAAACCACACCTTTTACAAAGTTTGGAATAGAAAAAGCTCCAAATTTGGTAAAAAAAAAGCTCACTCCAAATTTGGTAAAGAAAAAGCTCCCTCTAAGGTGTAGATCTAAGAACCTCCCTAAAATGATGGCCCATGTTAATTGCATTAAAAAGATAGCCCATGTTAAGTGCATTAAAAAGATAGCTCTTTTGGTAAATGTTTAAATTTTATTTCTTGGACAATTGTTCATCAAAATCAAAATGAAAAGGAAATTTGTTTCATGCAACGGGGACCGAGGTACAAAGCGTCCATCTTAAAGATGGACTCATAGTCCACATGAAAATAATGTATATGTAAAAATCGATATCAAACAAATCATCCTTGCGTGGTTTTCAAATATTGGTTCATTGTGTTACAATGAAACTTTTCAATGAAATATACATAATATTAACAATATTTTATAATAAACTTTATTGAATGGAAAGATGCTCTCTTATCTCTCTCAACTCTCATTTTATAGCCTCACTCACCTATCTGATTTCACCATATGATTAATTTGCATCTAAAAATATTAGTTTAAGGCAGTGATTTAAACAATACCGGGTCCGTTCAGGTTTTGTGTATATATAAGAAAAATGGCCAAGTCCAGAAAAAACCAGCGGTTTTGCAAAATAAAATGACAGTCGGTGCATTGTTCTTTCTGAAATTTTTTCGGGTAACAAATTAGGGTTTTCTAGCAGGTTTTGGTTTTTTCGTCATGAATTTGGTGACTATTTCAGCACCGATTTGCTTCAAAAAAAATTGAAAACAATCATGATAGAACCAGCTCCAGTAGTCTTCAATTTCTGATAAATTGTAACATAGAATCCTTGATCTGCAATGAAATAAATCCTTGATCTTCAATGAAATTAGTGTGCTCTGTCTCAGGAACCGGTTTTGAAAACCTTGAAACAATCACCGTAGGGGTTTCAATTGCACTGGGGATTTCGATCTACAAGGACTGAGCTTTCATCCAAATAAAGAATTTTTTATTTTCAATCCTTTTTTTTTCTGTTACAATTTTTTTTCATCGTGCCTAATGTTCATGAAACACCGAAAATCAAAATCTGACAAACAATCGACTTCTCCTCCTATTTGGAATGAAATTTTGTCATATATGTTTCAAAATAACCGTAAACAACCTATTTGCGTACGATAATATAAATCCAATCTACTGGATCTAAATGAATTACCACATGTTTTCAGCCTATACTTTCTCATACTTTCTCTTTTTTAAAATTTTATTAAAGGGTGCAGTTCATATAGAGCGGAGGCTCTAAGCAATCAAAAAACGGCCCACCTTCAAATAGTGAGGAGAATTGTGGTTTCAATATTGGAAATCTGTTTGTTGGCCTTAAAATATATTTTTATTTTTAATTATAAAATTTAAAAGCATAAAAAATAGTGTAGATCGAGTATATCCTTGAAAACTTGAAAATCTTGAAAATTAATGGCCTAAAATACATTACAAGATGCACTATTTGCAAAACTTGAAATCCATTTGTTTTTCTCTTGTCCATGCATCTTGATGTCGAGATGATCGATTTGAGGATATTTGGGTATCAAACAACTTCTTCTAGTGAAATTTTTGAGAGAGGGCTCTAATTTGATTGTTTAGAACCTCGGCTTTATATAGACTTTTCCTTTATTAAATTACTAATTAATATGAGGAGCTTTGATTAAATTTACTGATTACTTAGTTATTGATCTAAACTTATATATTTTTTCCCTTCTCTTATAATTATCTCTAATTATATTTCTCATTTTCCAATTTTCTGGAAGAAAATATATATTTATTTTTCGAAGGAAATAAGTTGTTATACGGATTTTCACTGAAAATCAATATTTTTCCCTTTATCTATTTGTTTGAACATTGATTTGTTGTTTACTGTCAATTTATGATAGATAATATTTATAGTTAATTCCTTAAGTTTTAAGTTTATCTTTTGTTGTCTGATTTTCACGTGGGAATTAGGTGATGTATACTTTTGAAACTAGAAAAACTGAACTGGTACATAAAATGTATTTCTAATTCTTTCAAATGAAAATTTTGAAGTAAATTCTATATTTTGTGATTTGCATACATAAAATTTGTTTAATCTTGAGTTCTTGACTATTATCAACCATTCTAGTGTTATTTTAGTGATCCATGCATTTGGTTGTATGTTTTGTTACATTATATCAAAAAACATATATGCTGTAAGATTTTTTTTTCTCAGTTAGCTGTAAGATTTTTTTTTCTCAGTTTTCTTGTACTTAGAGATGCATTTTGATGATTGTATTGCCACAAATTATATTTTTTGGTGAAGTTTTATCTCAATGAACCAATAATTTGAAGGTTTTGAATGCTTTCGATACATAAACTCAATATTTGTTTTCTTCTAAACTCAATGTCATGAAATACATTTGTTTTCTTGATTCTAGATTTGGCTTATACAAACCCTTTTTATCTATAATTTTGATTTTTGCCAGTAGGAACTAATTCATGTTTGCTAGATCTGTTTCTGTGATGTCCAAGTTGATGAATAAAATGAAGCACCTGGTATGAACCCTGTGTGCTGCCAACTGCATTGATCTTATGTTAGAGTGGTGAGATTCAAATTGTGAAGGAGACTCTAGCTCCGGCGAGGGCCATCACAAAATTTATATATAATCACTCTAAAATCCTATTTTTATTCAGAAAACAATATGAGAATAAAGAGATAATTGTGTCCGCCATTTCTTGCTTTGTGACATATTACTTAGTTGTGAACTTCATTCAAAAATCTCAATCTGCATTGAAAAGGTTGTTCATCAACAAAGAATTGTCAAAAGACTGCCTCTCAAACTCCCTTGACAGGTTAAAATGGAGGGCACAATCACAAATGAGAGGTTCTGGTCTTAGCATTCTAATATCATAGAGGCCACTGCCCTTTTGGTCATAGTGTTAAAAATGGTGGATGCTGATAAGAATGCCACCCTGAGCCTCCTTTACAAAGGGATTGAGAGGGACAAAACAACTATTAAGAGGAAGTATAGTTTTGTTGTTAAAGTAGTCGATATTATAAAAAAAAGGTGAGACAAACAATTGGGCCACCCGATTCAATATGTAGGTAAAGATTCATTTATATACTTTGAATGTTAAATTCTAAATATTTCTTTAATGTGCATTTAAATGGCCTTTCTCCATCTATTTTTTATATAGGTTTCTACTTCAACTCAAAATATTTCTATTTGATACTCGAACATCCTAACAAGATTATGGAAAGGGTTAGATATATTATTACCAGGCTAGAGAGAATCCATCGAAACTAGGTAGCGGCAGTGCAGGAGGTAAGAGTTAACATTTGGTATAAGAATTTCATTAACTAATTACAATTATGAGAAATAACTAATACATTAAAATGAAATGTTTTTCTTAGTTTTTTTATGTATGGGGATGCGATAGGATCTTTTGGAAGTAGACTTCTCAAGATTTCTAGAAGTGAGATGGATAAAAGTTAACCTCTTAATTCATTGTTCATTCATATCTTTAATCTTAGGAAACTTTTTTGCCTTTGCCAGGTTTTTTGCATTTCAATTTAGTTGAATGGTGAGATATATATTATAGTGATGCACTTCACTTGAGAATGATAACAATCGAGGTGCTCTCTCAGACATGTTCTACTACTGGATGTGAGTGAAACTAGAGTACATTCAAGTAGTTGCATACCCCTATGATGAATCAACTCGCATTGGAGAGGCTTCATAAGCTTATCAACATTCATTACACTTGAATCTCCAAGAGTGACAAGTAAGAATGAAGCTTGAAGACTATGGCCTGATCGACTTAGATATAATATTTGTCATAAATACAACAAAGCAATGGGAAGTGGAGGATGAGAAGCTAAAGTTGTGTAAGAGAGCATTCCTTGAGGCTATCGGCGAGGTAGTGAAGAGCATGAAAGAAGAAGCATCCCACCAACAAATCCATAATTTGTTGGATATGTTGGTGGTGTTGCACCTATTGAGGGAGAGTGGGAATGGGGTATGGGGGGAAAATGAGAGAGATGGTGATTTTGAAAGCATCATATCTCAACCAAGATATTCACAAACTATCCCAACAGCAGGAGAGTGGGGGTGAGCATGACAGTGGATGTGAGCATGAGGGATGGATAAGTGCTGACAGTTATAGGAATCAAATATTGAGTTTCATATCTTGTATATTACAAGATATTACGTTTCCTATATTGACCTTATTGAGTTTCCTATTTTGTGGGATTACAATTGTAATGAGGATTTGTTTCTTAAAAGGCAAGAGTTATAACTCTATAAATATCTGGTAAACCCGAATAATCCCTATGAATTAGATATTGGTTTACCCTCCGTGGAGGTAGCCATCATTGCCAAACCACGTACATGTCTTGTTGATCTTTATCTCTCTTGTCACTATTTCATTCTACAACAAGTTTTGAGATTTTGGACTAGGAGTGCAACAAATCACTACCACCCAAGGATTTAGGCATGGTCAGCTGACCACTAATATGGATTATTGTTCTTAGATACAATGAGTGAAGAGAGTGTGACTAAGATGATGAATTATTTTAATTTTACGTCGTATTTTAAGAATTGTATACTTCATTGTAATCCATGTATGATTACATACCTCATCCATGATGATTCTATGCTCCTTTTGTGTGATATGAATGTAATGGTTAAGAGTAGTTTATACATGGAAATAACATCTCAACATTCATATATTGATGCAAAATAATGAAAGTAAAAATATATAATACCTTCATTTCTTATTTGAATCCTAAAAAATAGCATTTATAATGATTTTTAATATGTTTTTAAATTTTTGTAAGGCCGAATCTAACCAATTTGGCATATCCACCAATCCAAACTTGTTTTTGGGATGCCCAATTGGGGTCACCAATCTGTTTTTTAAATCACTGGCTTGAAGCTTTAACTTTTTTTCATACATTTAACATTGGGAATGGAGGAGGGTGGGACGTCATGTTGAGGCATTCCACCCCCAATCACTGATACCCACGACCTAGTTCCTAGTTCAAAGCTTTATGTATTGGGTGAGGTTTGTTTAAGGTGTCAACCTTAAACAATTACGGTAAGGTGCACGTCAAAATTTCATTAAATAATGTATATATAGTGGTAAAACTCTTTTCATAGCCTAAAAGTTTATTTTTCACCTATAATGACATTGAAAGCTCTGAAATATATCTATGAGCCCTCAAAAATCTTGAAAATGGACAATCTAGATAATGTGTTAAAAGATGCACTATTTTTAGGACTTGAAATTCATTTTTTCTTTCATGTCCCTATATATCGAGGTCAGGATGATCAATTGAAAAAATTCTAATGAAAAAATAACCTTTTTTCGATGGGTATTTGAGGCGCATCTTACCTCTACAGTATAAGGTTAACGCCTTATATAAACTTTTTCTTTATGTATTCGTACTTCTTTCATTCTCACATTGCAAAGCTTTTCTATTTAGTACTTCCTTGCCGATAAGTAAGCTAGAGTGAGATAAGTATGATTAGAGATAGAGAGAGAGTAGGGCTACTTAAGTAGGATAAGTATGCTTAGAGATAGAGAGAGAGATAGGGCTACTTAAGTAGGACAAGTATGCTTAGAGATAAAGAGAGAGAGAGTAGGGCTAGTTAAGTAGGACAAGAAAGGAGAAATAAATTAGCCTAGTGATTATTTATTTTAGTAAGCCCTCTCTTTCCATGATAAATATGATGAGAGAGAGACCTGAGTTGGTCCATTTCAAAAGAGAGGTGAACTCGAGCTCGGTCCATGCCATGAGAGAGAGAGAGAGAGGAATACTCGAGCTTGGTCTGAGAGAGAGACTCAAGCTTGGTCCATGTGACAAGAGAGAGAAAGAGTCATGCTTGTTACTTTGGTGCATCTTTTGAATAAATATAAAAGGGATTGTCTACCAATAAATAATTTATTTTTTGTATAAGAAGGTCACAGTTATTCTTGTCATTTAAATTTCAAAATGAGTAGTTGTAAAAGTGTCATTGATTACACACAAAGTTCTAAAAAAAAAAAAAAATTCAAGGATTTTGTAACTCACCCCCAAGTATTCAATTTAACATCTTATGAGTGGGGGAATAGTTGTGACCTCCTTGTACAAAAGGTAAATGGTCTCTTTATAAACAATCCCTAAATAAAAAGATAAAAAAAAAAAGCAAGCGGATCCCCTCATAAATTTTGAAACTTTGTATAATTATCTTAACTAAATCAAGGATTTTATACAATGAGACCATTTAACTTTAATACAAAGAGGTCATAATTATTCATAGCGAAAAGTTTATATAGAGCCAAGGCTCTAAACAATCAAATTGGAGCCTACCACAAAAATTTCATTAAAAAATATTGTTTTAATGCTCACATATCTTCAAATTGATCATCTCTACATCAAGATGTATGGACATGGGAAAAAAATGGATTTCAAGTTTTGGAGATAGTGTTTTTTGTAATGCATTTTTCGACTGTCAACTTTGAAGATTTTCAAGTATTCATAGATCTGTCAATCTACACTATTTTTGAAGCTTTAAACTTTATAATAAAGATGACAATACATTGTAGGGTTATGTTAAGGTGTTCACACTATGGATTAATTTATTATTGCACTTAACAATTATTGACACTTTTATACTCGTGTTTTGTATATTGAGCATTTTTTTGACAAGGGTATTTTTGGTCATTAGGAGGGTATGATGTCATCAGTATGGGGTATCATATCACCCACATGGCGCACACTAGTGGCATTTAATGCACCGTATTCATGACATCACACCCCATGTGGATGACATCACACCATCTTAATGACTAAAAATAACCTTATTAAAAAAATGCTCCATGTACAAAACAAATGCATAGAAGTATCCAAAATTTTTTGAGTACAATGATAAATTACTCCATAGTGTGAGCACTCTAACATAACCTTATATTTTAAGGCTAGCAGAACGATTTTCAGTATTGAAACCACATTTCTGGACACTATTTGAAGGTAGGCTCTAATTTGATTGTTTAGAGCCTAGGCTCTATACAAACCATACCTTTATTTGTCATCGTCTAAATGTAAAATCTGATAACTTTGGTGTATCACAAAGTTCAAGAAAATTTCTTGATAAACTTTGAGCTTAGTCAATGGAATAAATATAGCCACCCAATTTTACATCTAATGGTCAAAATTAATTGTGATCATCTCGTACCAAAGCTAAGTAATCTAATGGGAAAGGTTTCTATGCTTCACCTACATCATAGAAGTTCTATCCTCCTCCTACCATCCAGCCGTCCAATTTTGATCAAGAGAGTCACTCACAGTTTGATCTTAGATCCGACGTCTCAAAGTATTTTATTTTTAGTTTTTTTTTATACAAATTGTATGAATATGAAATTTGGTACATGCCATATTCTCATTGGAGCACACCTATAAAAAATATTCAAAATAATTTTTCGATAAAATATAATGACCAAAATACCTCTTAAAACTTTTAGGGATATTTTGATCATTTTATTTTATTGAAAATTTTTTTTTTTAGATTATTCACTAGTGCGAGTTTAATAGAGGAATGGACGTCTAAAATTTGGTATCAAAATAATTTATAGAAAAAAAATTTAAAAATAAAATAGTGTAAAAACGTCACATTATGATCAAAGCAATCTTAACCCTTCATTCAGAATGAACAGTTGGATAAGGGGGAAGAATGAAGTTTTATGCTGTAGGGAAGGAACAGTTGGATAAGGGCGAGGAATGAAGTTTTATGCTGCAGAGAAATATAGAAAGCTTGCCCTAATCTAATTACATACTTTTCCTTTAAATAATATGGTACGGACATAAACTTTTTTTTTACAATCCCACTCATCATAAGCAAATGCATTATGCACTAGGAGAGAGAGGATACAAATGCATTGTGACTGCAGAGAGAGAAACAGGCAGCCCATATTCCTCTGCTGTATACACACAAATTCTCTGGGTCAAACATGAGAGGGAGCTCCATTACTTTATCTCTCTCTCGCTAAACTTTCTCTCTCCCGGAAATTATTTAGGTCAAAAGACTCTCAGTGGGGACCTACAGAGTGCACTCTCTTTTTCTCCAAATAAATTCGTCGGGTTAAATAAGACAGATGTGAACTGCATTGCCTTCTAACTCTAGTAAGACATGGGTCTCTCTCTCTCTCTCTCTAAAATACAAGGTTTGAATAATGAAGTTCGACTGGTCAAAAAGAAGAAGAGAGGAAACCAGACTGAGGATGGACAGAGGAAGGGACGTGGCACTTGCGATACACCCGTGGACTTCTGACGGACCACAGAGTTCGTTGTGCGTGCGCACTCACGTGCGCTCTGCACGCTTCTCCACGCCCCTCTCTCTCTCTCTCTCTTCTCTTCAGTTGTTTTTTGTTCCCTAATTTCTCTGTTTGCAGAGATCCATGATCGTACTGAAAAAGACTAAAAATCACCTGAGGAGATTAGCAGTAACTGTAACGGCCCTTGCTCATTTCAGTATAAGAAAATAACGGTGTTATTTGGGTTTAGCTCTCACACTGTTATTTGAGTTGGGCAATGCTTGTTTGTTGTTATTGCGGATGCTCGTTGAGTTGTGCATTTGATTGTGATTAACCAAGGTTGGTGGGTCGGTGACCTGGATCGTCTATCTGAAAAATCAGTCCGAATTGACAGATCTGAAATCCAGCCAGTGAATCGGCCAATAAAAAATTAAAAAAAAACTAGAGAACAAAAAACGTTAATAAAAATGTATAAAAAATAAAATAAAATTCTGGTTATGTCCTAAAATGGTTAGAACATTCCTGATATTTTGACAGAACCGGACCAATCCCTCCCGTTCTCTACCAAAACCGAAGGTTGTAGTCCGGTTCGCCCTTCTTTTAAACATTGTGATGATAAACCTAGTTTCCATGCGTAACTTTTGTTATGAGATAATTCCAAAATTCGTCTTAATACGAGACAAGCATTTTTAATATACTTTTAAGGCTCCATTTGGACGAAATGTCTATTATTAGTCTTAGAGTTAATTATGACCTAACACACAAAGAGCTTATCTTGATTAACATCATCAATATCTACTGTGTTTTAGGGCGGTTTTCGAATCATTGGGGTCAGGAAGCAGGACCTAAACAGGAGTTGGCTGAAGCAAACCAAACTTAGAGCCAAAGCATTTACCTTTTTTCAGTTAGGAAATGGAGCCTAACGGCCCCAACCATGAGCAGCAGCCTGTCCAGACAGGCCCTCAAAGAGGTATTATGCTGTAAATTGTTTTTTGTGCGATTTTACAACTCCTTTTTCTTTAGTCAGTTCAGCAGTAGGATTCGAACTTGACACGTAGCATTGCAATAGTCGACACTTTGGCCGATCAAGCCCATGTCAGAATTCGGATTCAGTGAAACTCCATAACACTCATATTTACCTCTTTGGATCTCTCCTAGATTCTTAATAATATAGCAATTCTTATGTTGGAAGCAGCATGTTTGTCTGATTAGACCACAAATTACAAATGTCTGAAAGAGATCTACTGAATTTCTTTCTAAAATTTGATCATTTTTCATCTCGTGAGTCTGGGTTTCACAGCGAGAGATTAGGGTTTATTCCATTTATTGAATGAATAGGAGGTCTCAATCACCATTAGACTGACTTTACTTGTGAAGCTTTGTGTGGGATTAAAAGTCTCAAACGAAACCTCAACCCCTATACATGGCCTAATCAAACTCAAACCCCATCTAAATCATCAGTCCTTTGTGGCCTAAGGAGTGTTTCTTATCGATCAGAATAAAAAATATTTTTGCTGCTAAACAAGTCTTACTTATCAATCCATGTCTTGACACCATCATGCCTACAGGTGAGCTACCATTTATAGTCAAATAAGATGATAGACCTAGGGCATAAACTATGCAGTATTTCTATAAATGAAGCTCACGTGAATTATAAAATGAGCCAAATCCTCATAACTCTTTAACTTTCAACATGGAATCATCGGACCTTAGCTGAACAGAATGCTTTCTTGAGGCTGATCTGTCTCATGGTTTGCTCTACTTTGTCACTGAGATCAATATACTAGGATCTCACATACACTTACGCTTATAATAAAAAATAACATAGTTACAAGATGAATAATTGCGCATGAAATCTGATAATAAAATAACTATATGTAATCCTAGAATTATCAAGGAAAAAGTTTGTACAATGCATCAATAATATATTATAAAAGTAAGGTGCACTTCAAAAATCCTCTAAAAAAGGTTTTCCATACTGGAAAATCATCCAACTGATCATCTTCAACTCAAGATGAATGAATAAATTAAAAAAAAAAAGTTTCAAGTTCTAAAAATCGTGTATCTATCTGGACTTCAAGATTTTCAAATGTTTATGAATTTATACTCTTTTTTTTTTGCTTTGAATTGATAGAGTGGTTTATGTATGAACCCTAAAATTTTAGGTAAAATACGAAATGTCCCCCTTGTACGTGGAAATTACAAAGAAGATCGGTCAACCTACTTTTTTATGTTTTTCAAAATTGCCCCTCGGTCAACCCGAATTTTAAATTTTTTTTTTTTAGTTTTTTCCATTAGTAGGGTAGTGCCCCAAGCTTTAAGGCACTGCCCTATTTATGAAAAAACTAAAAAATTAAAAAACAAAAATTCAGATTGACTGATGGGTAATTTTAAAAAAAATAAGAAAAAGGGGTTGACCAACCTTCTTTGTAATTTCCACATATAAGTGGAGCATTTCGTATTTTACCTAAATTTTAGGGCCTATACATGAATAAAACTATGAAATTTAAAGCCCCATAAATAGTGGAAGTTAAACACATTTATAAACATTTGAAAATCTTCAAAATAGACAGTCTAGATAATGTGTTACAAGATGCACTGTTTTTAAAATTTAAATTTATTTTATATATATACATGTTTAATTAGATACTAAGGCTGAGAATTTACCTTCCTTTTACAGTATGAAAATTGATGATTTATATGAACTTTTTCATATTAAAAAGAAAGTACCCAAACCCTTACGTTTCTTTTTTCTCCAGTAAGGAAAAAATGTAAGACAAAATAAATAGCTAGACCTGTGATTCGCAATCCCTAAGGTCTTTTCCTTCTTTGGGTTGCTTTGACATGCATTAAATGCACTAAAACGGATGTCACAAAAGCTCACATCTTGAAGTTCATGTCTTGCACAAATCTCCACCCCGGTGGTGGTGTTGTGCACCTTGATTTTAACTCCTAGCTAAATAACAAAGGGGTGATGAAGACAAATGCACGAGTACCTAGATTCCTAGAGCATTGCATTATATTGCAATATTACACCACCCTACGTGTTGTCTTTGAGACCCAACCAAATAAACAAGCATTGCATTTTTCTCTACTTCTCTATATTGGCCTCACATTAAATTAAAATAAAATAAAATAAAATAAGAGGTATTTACGTACAGATTCAAAATTTTTTATATAAAATACCATAAGGGTAATTTTGTGCTACAATTTCACATAAATTCGGTCAACTCGTATTTTTTTTATTTTGTCTGTTGATTCGAGGATGCCATTTTCGGACCGCATTTTCATTTTATTGTTTTAGCTTTTCCATTAGTAGGGCAGTGTCCCAAGCTTTAGGGGTAGTGCTTAGGTAGTCTCAGGGTAGAATCCTCGCATTGCCCTCTGGATGGAGCAAGTCTCAATTCCTAAGCGGCCCAAGATCCTCATCCTCGTACTGCTCTTTTTTTCTTAGTTGTTTAGAAAAACAGCGGTCCCAGGTTCCCATCCTCTAACCGCACTTTATTTTTTATTTTTTGAGTAAAACAACGATCCGACGATGGGGACCTCAGATTGCTCAATTTTGAAAAAATTAAAAAAATGTGGGTTGACCATCTTTCATTATAATTTCCACCTATAATCGGACCATTTTGTATTTTAGGTAATTATTTTGTGTCCGTACATAATTTACTTTAAAAAAATAAAATAAAGAGCTACATTGGCTTCTCACTAAAATATCTCTCTCATATCCAAATATTTAAATACGCTTCACTAGAAGCCCTCTCTCTTTAAAACTTTTACGAGGAAATGAAATGGAACTCTTGTAGAAACTCTAATTTAAAGCTTTTTAGAGATTAGTTATGACCTTAGTGGTTGAATAATTGGGGTGATGTTCTGAACCCCGTTTGTCCGGGCTTTATTCCGTGTCTTTTGCTGGACATAACAACAATGCAGCCACCTACTATTACCAAAAACCGTCCCCCTTTTGGAACATGGTCAAAGTTCAAGTTGCTTTTCAGTCGTTGGTAGTTAAAGCTTGCTTCCTGAAGTGCCCTACCCTCAGAAATAGTGTTTTTGTATGTGTGTGTGGTGTGGTGGGGTGGGGTGGGGTGGGGTGGGGTGTGGTGGGGTGGGGTGGAGAGAGTGAAGAGAAAGAGAGAGAGCAAACTTAGGGGTGGCAATGACCCGACCGGAACCGGACTCGGACCCAGACCTAAACCCAAAAATATAGTGTAGGACCTGAACCCGGACCCAGAACCGATCTAAAAATTAAAATATATATAATTTAATTATATTTAAATATACTTCGTACATTGAGACCCGAAAAAAATTATCAGACCTAAACGGTGTTCAAGTCTAAGATTTAGATCCAGATCCGACCCGTCAAGTCCAAATTTTATACCCATAGCAAGACCTCGGCCTCGAGTCAGGTCCGGGTCCCCTTGCTGCAAACTTCCCTATAAGTAGTTTGATAGTGTGCATGGGGAGAGAGATAGTAAACTTAGTAGTGTGATTGTGTGGAGAGAGAGAGAGAGAGAGAGAGAGAGAGAGAGGAGAGAGAGGAGGAGAGAGAG